TAATGTTTGAAGATTTAATATATGCTCTTTAACAATATTTAATTACAATTACAATCGTTAGAGTGCAGGATTGAAAATTTTTCACTTTTCAGTATTGATGTTAATATCTTTTTTGTCATTATTGTCCTTAAAATTTAGTATTTTTAATAAAATTTTCATAAATGTTACTTTATTATTTTCATAAGTTTATTTATATATTATATTATATAAACACAAACACACACACATAGTTACTTAGATACTATAGTCTTGGCATGTTTATCTTAGAATAAATTGCTGAACTGAAGTACCTTAATAGGTAATGTTTTTTTCTAAAGGCAACTGTTGGTATTCTCGAATTGATTTTTTTTTTAAATATATTTTTATATGCCGATATATATATATATATATATATATATATATATATATATATATATATATATATATATATATATATATATGTATATGTGTATAAATATATATGTATATGCTTTTTGAACCTTATTAATTAGTTCATAAAACTTGTAAAATATTAGTTTTTTATCCAGTGAATTTTTTTTTATTGATACATATTTGTTATTCTTTATGGAGCAAGGCCTGGAATAAAATTTTATAAATATAAAACCGGAATAAAATACCGCAATAACATATAATTGAAAAAAAAATGGTTATGATCAACATTTATTGAATAAATTGTTATTAAATACGCATTCAATATATCATCAATAAACACAAAAAAATTAATAAATTTTTTAAACAGCATTGACAACCATTTCGCCAGAAAAAAAACAAAAAACGACATAGCTAAGGTTATTACTAGAAGTATAACTAAATAAGAGTTATGAATTTCCCACTAATCGGGAAAGCCATCATATTACCGGGGTGTTCATCTGTGAACCAAGTCAGAGCAGTTAGTTGCTCAATCTATCAATCAGACTAACCGGCTCAGACGCTGAGGGGGGTGACTGTGCCCCCCCCCCAAATCTTTGGTACTTAAACAACATGACCTGAGGGTATCAAGGACTGGTATAACAGTGTCCTGGGCTCATAAAGATTACATCAGAGAGCGATTATATCGTTAAATTTTGATATGACACATATCCATGATGATAAATAATAATTGAAAAAAAAAGGACTGATATTATCAAACTTTCTCTACTTACTCACCTCACCACTATCCAAAAAATCTCCCTCTTCCACTAAATTTTAGCCTAAACCTCGAATATTACCAGGTGGTTGAGCAATGATTATTTTTTTACTGATTCTTACTTTATTTATTTCTTTAATCGGATGCATGTGACGCGATTTCAAGTTATGTGGCAGACATTCATCATTAAACTCGTCTTTTCTAGGAGCAAGAAAATTAAATTAATTATTATATTAAATATATTACTTTTCGAAATCCTTTAGCTACTCCCTTAAGGTATCTGGGAATCTAAAAGATTGGTTGTCCTAATGATTATCTTTATTTTAGTTATTTAATTATTTTCCCATTATTTGATTAATATTATTTGTTTTATATTTATCATAAGAATAAATTTAATTTACTTATTCTTTTTTACTTTTATTTTAGCTATAAACAAGACGCGGTTTAAGCGTGATACCCCTCAGTCTAAAACAAAATCAAAACTATGATTATAATTATTTCAATCGGGTTATTTTTTCTTATAATATAAAGAAGAAAAATATACCTTTCAAATTTAATCTAATAATTTATCAAAGACACTGTTTCAAACCTATCGGTACATTTTCTAATTACCTTTATTTTTTGTGTTCATATTTAAACGTCACTTTATCAGTATTAAATTATACGGTTGTCAAAATTTTAAGTTTTTTTTTAAAATTTACTATATTCCTTCATCCTATTCAATACAGGGAGATCCTATCATAATGATAAGATTACAAGCATCAAATAAGTTTTGTAAACATACATTATGACAAAAAATTTAAATTTTAAATTTGGACAACCACGAAACTCGTTAATGATGAAGGTGTGATGTGAGCAATTAAGATAAAGGAATAAGGCTCGAATTTTTTTTTTTTTTATACCATAAGAAGAAAAACCGTTAAGAAAAATTAATCCGTTTAAGATATTTTTTTTTTTATTTGTTGATTTACAAATATAATATCTGTCACGTGGAAAATAATTATATTTCTGATATAAAAAAACTGTGACCTTTGACCATTAAAAAAAAAAAAGTTAGGATCTACCATCGTGTATTAAAGATTTTATTTTGAAATTTCTATGAATAGAGAAATATAGAGGAAAGAAAGAAGGAATTAATTAACCTGGTATACTGCCAAGGAGGAAGAAAGACATCATGGATGATTGACTAAGAAAGAAACAAGGAGTGCTCTGGAAGCTGTCAGGGGGATCTGGTTCATAGCTCCCACCATTTACAAACAGTGCCTCTGTCTCTAGCGGCATCCGGCGAATCGCGAGGGCTTATAGTGTATTATCCGATGTACTAACAGGAACAAGGAGGGAAGTTGTTGTTTCATCCTAATATGAGGGAGACGTGTTCAATTTATATACATAAGTACCATCGAAAACCTGAAGTTGAATCATACATGAACAATATATTCACGCCTAAAAATTATAAAAAAATAAAAACACAAGGCACCTTTACAAACAGTGGAGGGTCAACGGATCAGTATTTTGTAAGGAAGTACTATTTCTTAGTCAACGGTTGTACAAAAAGGTGACCGAGATCACGTTCAACCATGGTTTCTTTTTCTTAATTAAATATGGAGGGTGGGAGTTCCAAGGAAGCAGTGACAAATCCAGGGTTTAATTTTGGGAGGTATTTTTTTTTTTTTTTTTAAGAAATGCTAACTGTGGAAGAATAGAATGAAATTATTTAAAATAATGTTTAAGTTGTTCTTGAACGGCTTTCAAAATAATAATAATAACAATAAAAAAAAAAAAATGTTTTCAGGAACAATAGTGCTTATAGGATAATTTTTTAAATATTTTCTCTTGGTCATGTAGTCAGATTTTGTAGCTGAAAGTACATGTTTTGATTGTTTCAGTATTTATTAAGGACCAAGCACAGAAGTGGGACGGGTTGGCCGAGCGGGCTAACGCATGCGCATACATAAAATAATTACTAGTTCGTGCCCCGGTATTGGGAGCCTTTTAACACTGCCATTAATACTCCGCCTTCTCCCCTGGTTCGGGAAACCCCCGGTATAGCCTAAAGATGAGGAAGGGATGGACAAAAAAATAAAAAAAGATCACTCCGTTTTGGGAAAAGCTTCAGTCGGAATGGTAAAAGAACTACGGTCGTATTCATCTATTAGAGGTAAATAAAAAGTTAGTTTTGTTTGGAAAATATATTTAAAATCTATGTTAAAATCAGGATATTTATTAGCATTTTAAAATCCACTGAACTACAGAATTTCTTACTCATATTCGGTTTTTAAACATTCTATAATTTGTTTTAGAATTTAATGTATCGAAATGAGGGAGGAGTGAAAAAAAAGTCGAAAACAAATATTTTATAAAAGAAACTTAATTCAAATACTAATTTTTTATCAAAAGTGTTATTGTTTTGTTCACTTTAGCAGACACTTCAAAATATATTTGAAAAAAGATGCCGCAAAGGTGGTCGATATAAATTATTATTTTATTTTGACTTAATAAGACTAAATCTTTCGTAAATTATATCTAAAGCTAAAACACCGAAATCGCCATTTTTACTGTAAAGTTAGAATAATGTAAATACAATTAAAATCAAAGAAAATAATTCTAGGCCATTATCAAGGTCAAGAAGCAAATTACACAGTACCATCTCTCCTACCTACAAATTACTTTTTCTATCTTCGTCGCTTTATAGCCTTTTTTTTCTGGTTGAAAGGGAAGGAAATAAAATAGATGATGAAACGAAATGGAATATATATTTAATTATTCCCTGACAATCATATCGTGGATTTATTAAGTTTTTAATTCTGCCTAGTATATTTGATTTTGCTGTGACAGAAAAGGGAAGGAAATTGCTTCACATTCATGAGTTAAGATTTGCATAGCCATTCCTCATAGGGCCCGGGGCCTTATTAAAAAGCAACGGAAGCACATTCCACAGTCGTGCGAGCCTTCTTAATAAATTTCAATAAGTTATCATTAAGGAATTTCTCCCGGCGGGAAATTCGAGGTGGAAATTATTCATTAAGGCGAGTAATAGCAGAAAGTCGTGAGATTTACTGCGAGGGCACTATATCAGGTTTAGGGGAAGCCTGGAGGGAGGTTTAGGGAGGCCGGCTTATTCTGGAAGCCTTGGCAGAGGTTGGCAGCCCTGTATCCGTACCCATGTCATACCGCTCCTGCTCTTACACATAGCCTCAGAGTACCGAAAACATTAATCGCCGAAGACGAAGAAAATAGTTAATATTGAATTTTTAGGGCTCTGCAATAGAATCGGAGAGAACAACATTATAATTGTGATACAATTTAAATTATTAAAAAAGTAAATTATTTAATTTCGTTGTCAAATAAGTAAACACGTCAATATTTTTGTTAACTTTTGATAATCTTCTTTTAAGGAATAAACAATATATTCCAAATTAAAAACAGCGGACTTCATAAGAATATTTTTCAGACAAATCCGATTAAACTAAATTTATGTGGGCGCATTGGGTTTCCCTTAAAAGAAATATGCAGACTGATTTGCATACAATCCATATCTGCGCACACTGGAGTCGTAAATTATCTACCGTTATAGCTTTCTTTCTTTTCTTTGTCTCCCTCTTGTACTTTTTATTCATTTATGACCAAAAAGGACTTTTTGACTGCATGGGGAATAAATATTCATCAAACTTTTTTGAAAACCGCTACGAGACACGAATATTTAGAACAAACAAAGGGGAGTCTTTTTGCAGTGCAGTTAAAATGTATAAGGTTCCCGTCCCTTTGCAATGTTGTAAAACAAAGTCCTACTGATGGTAAGTTTTCTATTACTGGATGTAACGTAATCGATTACTTATTAAATCGATAGTAAAAAGGCTTAGCGTACTCGAAGCCAATGGAACCAATCGCTGTCTACATTCTTCCTTCCACTGGACGAGGTCCAAACCAACTGCGCCGGATCAGCCTGAACACAATCCTCTCTCCTTTTTCTTCGGTCTGACTATTATACGCAATGCTTCATTTTTAAAAATCTTAAGATGTTGCACAACCCTCTAATATAAGCAGTCACGTTTCGAATACAGAGAGAACCGCAAGATGGGTACCGCAATTAGGTACCCATAGAGAAGAATACCTAAAATTTTCTACGTAATCGATTCCTTATAGCATTGGATACTGAAACCAAATATTGTTTTGTTTTTTTATTTAATATATATTTATTTATCTAATTTGTAAATTATATTTGGAATTGTTTTCTTGTCAGTAACGTTTTTATATGACATGAGGAAAAACCCCACAAGGGAACACCCGGATGAAATTCATTTCTCATTCTACCTTATACGTTGACATCCAAACTAAGACCGCTGACGAGATAATACCTTTCTGAACTTGACGATTAGTAAAACAAAAACACAAAACAAAACGACGATGGGTGAAAAGGCGCAGTGACAGGTAGGGCATTCCGTTTGAGCGGGGCTCAACCCCAGAGGAGACAAACGCAGAGGACACAATAAAGGCCCCCCCCTCCAGCTCGGACAGCTGATGAGAGCGTTGATACTTTGATCCGGGGACAGTGGATTCCTTGATTACAGAGCCCGCTCCTCAATGCTCGGGCACGTTCGGCAAACAAGCTTTGTGTTCGCCTTTTTATTATACAGCTTCGCGCCGCTATTGATCATGCGTCTAGTTATCTCGTCCTGGAGCATCTTCCAATCCGAGTGTCACTGCCACAACGGGGAACAGTAATGAGTGAATGGTGAGATAGAAAACTTCATTATATCATTTAAGTCGTTATGTCTCACGCATATTGCAAAACGCAACCCAACTTAAATTTTTTGCTAAACAATCAAGTCTGAAATATTAATAACTAACACATATTACAAGCGTACGTGCCGGATGCAGAGCGAATGCCCGACCACGCCCACATAAACTATGAGCGAGCCACTATATCTCACATTCTGCAGACCCAAAAGAGAACTTCAATTTAAATTTTATGAAGACAATGTTTTAATAAATTGAGTTTTAATTTAAATTAAAAAACGTACATCCTACTTTTCAGAATTTTAATTACGGGAATTTCAATTAACAGAATTATTAATATGAATGAAACAATTATATTACAGGGCCACTTCGGTACTAGATGGATGAGCTAGCTGATACGATGGCTAAAAAGCAGTGGGAGAGGGAATCGAAAATAAAATAAAATAAAATAATCCCCCCCAGATATACAAACCATTGGCTTTTGGTGTTGAGGTTAAAACATAAACAATAGGGACTACAACGCACTTCTTTCAAAATTCCATTCGTACTGATAAAATGTACAATTATTTCATGATTTCTTATTTGGTTATTTAATGGATTTTAAACCTTTAAGTATCCCTAATATTTTCACAATGTACATGGTCGAGGCTATGAAATATCCAATACTTTGTTTTTAGCTGAACTAACACTAGCAGCAAAACTATGTGATTTCAGTCCCCGGAGATCATTGCTGATAAGTACCCAGGATTCCCGGTATCCACAAGCTCAGCTCTATCGGAGAACTCCTTTTTCGCAGCTATTAGTAGAGATAGCCGTAGGATAGAGGAAGAGACTGGATGGGAATTAGGTGCAGTTAATCTGCATATGCCGGCCCGCGAGATAAGGGCGCGATCGGAATAAGTTTAGCCGGAGGAGGCTCCCAGAAGGGCGATAAACCAGGGCAGGTAATTGGCCCCGCAAGAGGATACACTATATGATCCCCTTTATTGCCCCAGGGCTGCCCTATAATTGGCTATAAACCAGCCCTTACCTCCTTGTCTCACTAGTATAATTATTCAGGAATAATAACTCGGGTAGGTGTCGCCCTTCAGCGCTGTCTCTTATCATTTTACATGTTGGCTTCTGCGAAATATTTCACTTAATTAATAATCTCAACCAAGCGACCTAATTCGAAAAGTTTAACTGGAAATTCGGGATTAAAGTCCCAACTCAAAGGATCAACTAAATGATGAAATTATAACTAAACAATCGCATATAGCATAGCAGTCTATACCATAATATAATTCATACATGGTAGTACACGTCAAAGAGAGTGCAAGATAATTGGTTATACAAATATTTTTTTTATTCAAATTTACAAATGTGTAAATAGATAGAACAAGTAAATTTGTTGTAAGAATATAAAACATTATAAGGAGATTGTGAAGAAGCTACGCATTGGTAGTATTCCAATGATTAGATGGTTGTCAGAAATTGTTTTGAATAAAAATTTATGAACCTAAGGGATAGGGAATCCGGTGAGTTTGGCAGTAAAAGAGGAATATGTATTTCATGCTGTAGCGAAAGGAATTTTATGAAGCCTTATTTGACATTGGAAAATAAAAAGATATAATCCTTTATATTTTCATCATGTATCAGAACAAGAATATTGGATTCCCTACTAAACTCAAAGCTTATTTTGAACGGTAATGTAGAAACATTGCGAATGGAATATAGCTAGAAAAATATAGCTGTAAAATAGCCAGAAAAAAGAAATGTCGATGTCAGTATCGATAAATTCATAAGATTGGGCTTGCAGACTGAACTAACATATCTTCGGCACCATGTTAAAGCAATGAACCTGAGCCTGTAAACGTCACATTCGTTACGTTAATATGGTGCCGACGATATCACAACATGACGTTACCTCTTTCTAATAATTTTCAATAACTGAGGTAAATACGTGTGGGACTTCATATCAATAATTCGCAACGCTCATTCATTGCCAAACACAAATGAAAGTGATATCGATCATTATATCGAGCCAACACATGTTTACTGAAGTACATATGTTGCAACATATGTTTACGCTTTCTCGATCCCTCTAACGGGCGGGGTTAGGAAGCAGGGGAGGACCTGGCCGAGGGAAACAAACGCCGTGGACACGAGCCAAGGCAATTAACCTGAGGTCGGGGGCCATGCCTCTGCCCCTAGTTGCTAACGACACCGCCAGATAGCGGTTGTCGCTTGAGTCTTTTTGCCTCTAATCATCGCTGATATCCCGCCCGAAATGATCTGCGCGGTTCCGAAATCGTAAGAGGGGACTGCAGTGATAAGAAAATAGCACGACATTACAAAAAAAAAAGTTCCCCTTCTTATCACTCCTCTATCAAACGTGAATAAACGCAAGGAAGATGAATAGTTTTGTCGAAAGGCTCTTCACATTTTTTGCAAGAACTAATCATCGAATCGCGAATCATAAGGTGCGCGAACAATATAATGTTGATACCCGCGGGAGAATGAGCATAAGAATTAGCCCTGAAAGTCCACGAAGACTTTCATTGAAAGAAATTAATCATCTGTCACATCTAAGTATTATTAATTTAAAGTTGATTTTTAAAACAGATAAACAGCTAAAACGTTGAATAAATAACTGCACATTTCAGGAAATTTAAACTGACTGTGTTAAACAGCTTGGTTAATGAAGCACCAAAACTTATAAATGTACTTTGAAATATAAGTATAGGTCTCAATCAACTAAGAACATTCCATGATTGAATGTACAGTCCGTGATAAAGATAAAAAGCAGAGGTTGTTACCTTGTTTATACAGTCCGATAGGAAGAAAAATCCTTTGTATATACAACCGAAACCATCTGAAATCAGAGTAGGGGAGAGCGAGGCTAAAAGATACCGGGGTAGGTTGTTCCGAATGAGATAGCTCAAAAACGAAAAGAGATAAAGTATAACTTAATTCTAATAATACTAATTATAATCTAAACTACGTTATAAGCTCTTAATTGTAAAGATTGATTAGCTACATCAGCTGTTAATTTCAAATTGAGTTATGTATAACCTCAAAGTACAAATTAGAGGTGTAAAATAATTATAAGAGATTATTATTATAAAAAAAATAATGTTTTGAAAATTATATCTTTCGTTTCATGATTTTATTGAAGAACTTATTTGACTGAGTACTCTAAAGATGTCGATTAGTCTTTAAATAAATAAGTATATATTCAATTTTTTTTTTCATAACTCTTATTCCAATTCCTCTTCACAATTCAATCAGATGCTGGCATATATTATAAGTATATATTATGAAACAAGGTTTTAATTTTCTTTATACATTTTTTTTTTCTTCTGTTTTGAGTGAAACAGAATTTCAATCAACTCTCACAAACACTGCTTAGTCTCTGAGTAGGTATAATTTTATTGTTTTGGTTACCTTTTATCTTTTCTATTCATAAGAGTGTATTTTATTTTATTTAAAAGTATTTTATTTTTTACTTATCTTCTGCACTCTCCTCTCTATGTGGGTATGTATGTATATATATATGTGTGTTTGTTTTTTCTTTTTCTGCTCGTAATCTATTTCGTCATAGGTAGATCTCAATACTTGTCTACTTTCTCACAATACCTTCATATTTTCAATTAAACGTCTTAAGGAACATATATAAATCATTTATTTACTCTAGTTATTTTCTTTTAATCTTACTTTTCTTTATTTTTTTTTCTTTATTATATTGTAGCACTAAAATTGGATACCTATAAAACTTATTTAGCATTTCTTTCCAATTTTATTTAGTTATAAGTATGTTGTTGTTTTTTGTACCTATATTATAATATTGTAACCGTTTTACCCATCCGCTTTCCTTAATATACCCACCAAAACTATGTATATACTCATTTTATTACTTAGATTGTAGTTACTCTTTATTATAATAGGTCATCTGGCCAGATTTATTGTCAATTGGTTTAAACAATATTGTTATTCTCAAGGGATCTAATCCCAGAATAAAGATGATTTTCTATTTCTACTATCAGGATATGGAGCATTGCAGCATTATTTAAGAAAAATTAATAATAATAAATATTAAAATACCTAGTTTAAATCGAAAGAATCTGTTTCAGGATTTTGTAGCTTATAAACTAAATTTTTTTGTTCTTGTTTCACTATTTACAACTGTGTAATTAACCATTGCTCTCTCTCTCTGTGCTGCAATAAAAAGAGATATAGAGGAAGCTGTATACATATATATAGGCCAGCGCCCTAACAACTACAATAACAGCCTCCTTTCTATTCTCGGTCTATGCAGCTAGACTATCGGGCTATAAGGCGACGGCCACAGTGCGATGAACCTCCATCAACCAGAACCATTCTAGCAAGTTATTATCCGTCTGAGTAGATTAGTCATGCTTTGACACCTTTGAAGGAACAATGCAAGGCTTCAAAGGATCCATATCCCATTGTTCTTAGTAATTATCAGGGAGTTGGACACGCTCCTCTCGCCCATGTTCCACCATCTCGGCTAGGGCCCTCATTAACATACATAAATGTTCACTTTCACATTTTGTAATTAGGAGTTTTTTTAAATTTAGGAGAGGGCATGTCTTTCATACGGCATGGCAGAAAAATCTTTGTCCTTTCAATATTGAATTTCTATTATGCCTGAACAACAAGTGAGTTTTATGTTATACTATAACCGTCTAAATGTAATGGATTTCGTTTCCTATACAGGTAATTATATAATAAAAAATATATAAAGTGCTTCCATGAGCATGACAAATAAGTAGAGATTGCTTGCCTGTAAATATTACAAAGGCTAAAAATAATTCCAACTTGAAAGAGAGTGTTCTGATAATTGACCTATAATGAGTTTTTTTTATTTTTAAACTATATTATTTTATCCATTTTATACTTAAGGGCTAAGTTACAGTAATGTTCACAAATTGATCACATACTGAATCAGAATTTGTGAAAAATGGTTTCTCGGTTTACCATAAGCAGTTCTTCGCAACCTTTGTTGTGGTTTCTAGAAAAGAATAATTTCTATTTAAAATTATAGCTACTCTAAAGGATATAACATGATGAGGACGAAGCCAGGTGACACTAGTTGAAACTAATTCCTCCTCCCCTTCCTTTTAAAAGTTTAAACTTTTAAAAGTTAGGTTACTGATTGTCAAAAAAAAAAAAATTATAAATACTCATTGGTTTGTTAATTTTAGTTTTCATACAAACAGTTTCCACAGAAGAGAATAAACATATCATTTATATTTCAATATATTACAGAAAACAACAATTCAATGCTCGGTAATTTGTTAACGATACAAAACCTCGCAAAGTTAAATGATATATTTTATTTTATAGTAGGGAGCCTTAAAATAAGATCACTTATTATGAATGATTAAATGCCAGCAATATTTATGTTTATGTTTACAACAAGACATTGTTATCTTAGAAGTTGAGCATATGCATTGTTGCAATCTGCTACATTGTATTGTAGGAATATAATATTGCTATTTTTAAAATTCCTTTTATGTATATTCATTTGATTTTTTTATTTATACGTCTTCAAAGTAGTGACTTTTTATTTATACATTGTTATACAGTTGTTTTTCCTTTTCTGTTTTTTTTTTTTTTTACATCACAATTTATATAGCTAGTTCTTCTTATTTATGAAAAAGAATATTTCTCCGATTTATTTCTATATTTCTATAGCACTTTATTTTGGTTCTATTTATGTAATAATGTATTTAATACAGCCAGACCTCCTGTAATTGTATATATTAATTACAAAATACAGAATTTTCATTCATTTATATTTCAACAGTTAGTGACATCAATTTCTTGTGAACAAGTTAAAACTACAGTAAAGAAACGACATTTGCAACGTAAAAAAAACTTCAATTAAAATATCATGGACTTATTATTGGTACACTACATGATACAAATACTCAGATCAGCTTTCATTCCATGAAATAAGATACCTATAAGACGTACTGGCAATATCTGACAAGATTCAGATTACAGGCAAAGATCTAAACCTGAGACTGAACATGTAATCATAGATTGAAGGTGTTCATTCTATTGTGTACCGAAGGTTGGTTGTTACGATTGCGGTTTTGTTGTAGTATCCATGTTCATAGATGTAAAAAGAAAAAATATTTATGAAGGGTTACGTCGCAAAAATACTTTTAAACGTAATTGCGTAAGTATAAATTTATTCAAATAAACTTTATCGACAGACGATTACACCTTGTTGCATCAATAGGAAATCTCCTTTCAAACTTGGCCCTTTTCATTAAATACTCATCAGCCACTTTTAATTACCCGGGGCGATAGAGGAGGCAAATCAATTACAAATTACTACGGCAATTATCACTTTCTTTGATCGGAAATAGAAACGCCATTTAAAATCTCAATTTTGATTTTGCTTTACTTAACTTAAACAAAGGAAAGCATTTGGTTGGAAACTAATTTTTTTCAAGATTGCATTCGATTTAGAACTTTTATAGTAATTTAGAATTCAGAAAAAGTGATTTTTAATTGAAAAAAAATGGAATATTGTAGTTGTCGTCGTTTCCTGATTTTAAGAACATTCTTTGATAAAACTTGAGGGTTTAGTTGAGTTCATAGACAACAGAAAAAAAAAAAAATCATTTGTAGAGCTTTACAGTAAAAACAGAATTCGCTCCGTTGTATGAACATAACTCGTGAAAGTAAAAATCTTGTGTAATTTTTTTTTTTTGTGTACAGATAAGATATACTTTTTGAAAAGAGTTTTGGTTGATTTTCATAATTCAAAATTATAAAAAATCTGCAGAGAGCAGTTGTGTTCTTTTTTAAACTGTTATGAGACAATGAGGGCCAAACTACTGAGGGAAACCGAATTATAAATCATAAATACGGAGAACCATTTCCCTCAGCAAGTAAGCAAGGTATATATATATATATGTGTGTGTGTGTACAAGACATAGGTATACAAGTATAGGCTTAGAGATAACTACCCGCAGAAGCTTGATTGATCTTGCATCACTAGTCAGTCGTTGCGAAGTCAGATTGAAAAAAGAATTACGAATTTCTTTTATATTCATAGCGAATATCACCGAAGGCACCATTACATTAAAATAGTAGCTTACTGCCTCGCTTATAGTATTGTTGCAGTTTACATTATGTAAATAGGACATCCATTATTTAACAGCTCCGGAGGAGATACTCAACTGCAATGCCAGAAGAGCAGAAGAGAATAAAAAAAAAAACTAAATAAAGTATAGACGCCCCCGCGGAGATGCGTCATCGCCGTGAACGCCGCAACATCTGATCGCCTTCCGATATGAACACAATGCAGCAGTGCTGCCATCCGTGAGTCGTTAAGGCTAGTAAGTTCCCTCCTGTAATTTTTTCCCCCATTCAAAGATATAATCTATTGTTGTCAGGAAGGATGTTCCGATGTAAAGATCTGATGCGTATAATTCTACTCATTTTATCTCTTAATGGTGTCCTATAGCCAAAGAAGATTTATGACTAAAGATCTTTCTAAAAAAAAAAAAACATGAAAGAAAAAAACCATTAGCCAACTGTCTCAAAATATTTTTACATGCCTTGAATTCCCAGATCGACTATTATTAAATTAGCGACATAATATTTAACCGATTATTAGTGCATTCCTAAAATTAATTAATGATATCAAAGTTATGAGAATATGGAATTGGAATAATTACAATTAATATTAATGTCTTCCATATTTTAAACTGGCCGCCATCTTGGAGTAGTGAAAGGAAACTAGTACCATGACTTTTATATACTTTTTATGGTTTTAATCGTCCCTTGTTTTATGTGCATGCTTTTTTTTTATTTCGTTCAAATATTAAGCAAATACTGACTCAGTATGCATTTATACCCCTCATATTTCTTAGCCAGAATCTTGAACGCCTCAAATGCTGCTAAATCATTCGAATTTAATGTTTCGCTTTTATAATTAGAACGAATCTGCTTTGAAGAGTGTGTAGCCATGCTTCAGGAACAGCTGTTCTGTATAAATAGTGTTTGGCTTTTAGTGAAGGGCTGTTTTGATTTAAACCTCCAGATATCTGTGTCTTATCTGTTTGGCTCGAGGCACAGAGAGGCCAGAATGTACACTTTCGGATTGTTTCTGTTCGGGCTGAAGTAGAGCTGGCGTGCCAGATGGAAGGAATAGCTCAGCGCATTCCTTCTCTTTACCAGCAACCAATAAGAATCCGTCTGAACATACTGAGGTGTAGACGAGTATGTAGAAGATGGCGGTGAAGCTGAGAAGCTGATAATGATTAATCTTTTACTTTTACTTTTTATTCTTAATAGTACGTATTAACTGTTACAAAATAAATAATCTTTCTACTTAAATAGAAAAAAAAATTGCTTGAAAAAAACCTAATAATGAATAAATAAAAACGGATTTGGAATATCCGTGGGTATAGCATTTTTAATTTTTGGTTTTTGTAATCTGGCTATATATATATAATATTCAGCTAAAATGTATTAATTAAGAAAATAAAAGACAATGGTTGTATTTCTTGAAAATTTTATTTTATTTTATATTTGTAATCGCCTTTACCCTAGAGGGTTATTGGCGGTAAGTGTTTATATTCTATTGCAATATTTAGTTTCTTCTATGTATTTGAATAGAAATTGAAATTACTATTTACATCATCGATTTTATTCGTAATAGATTAAATCAGGGGCTATTAAAATTTTTCAAGCGAATGAAGAATTGTTTTTTTCCGTACCTCATAACAACTATAGGAATTTTACATTGTTATACTAGATTGCTAATGTTAATTGTATATAATTACAATATAATAATAATATAAACATAATTTTCTATAACTATGATTACTTATTATAACTATAATAATTCATCTAGTTTAATGTAATTTTCCCTTAAGTCCCATATCTTAACAATTAACTATTGTTATCGACGATTATAATTTTATAAAAATTTTCCTTTTAAAATAGGTGGGTAGTTTACAATTAGGAGTTGGAGATCAGTAGGCTCCGTCTTCTTTGGGATATATTTGGGAATTTAGGAGTACTCTAACTGATCTAGAAATCGGCCGCCATATGATGAGCAGCGGAGTAGTACCAAAGTTATTTATACTTTAAGGATCGAGATAAAGACTGATTTAATTTTATTTTCATCGCACACTTAAAGACATTCTATACTTTAATGATAATGTATATATTTTCATAATGATACACTTTTTTAAGGTTTTTTTTAAAAGTTTTTTTTAAAGTTTTTTTTTTTAAGGTAAGGAATTGAATTGGGATCTTTTTAGAGTTCAAAAAGAGTAAACAACTAGTCCTAAGACGGCTGGATATCAGTTTAAGAGAAGTGACATAAGATAAGAGAGGGCCGAGGATGGACTGACAGGTGAGAGATAGGCGACTACAGCGCTATCTGCAGGAGGCAGCCCGGGATTAGTCTCTTGCCTTGTCCCTATCTCTCCTTCGCTCACTCTCCTGTTTTGCCATTTATATTAGCAATCTTCTTTCCTTTTAGTGGACTTTTTGTAGGAGGTTATTTCCATTACCCCTTATCTCATTCTCGTTTAAACTTCTAATCTTTATTCCGCGTTTTTATCTTTCCCTTTCTTATGCTTAACAAATTCCTTTAAATTCATCGCGACAAATAGTTCGAGCATCTTTTTTTTTTCTAAAGAGAAAGATCCATTTCGTCTGTTGCTTTTCTTAATTGTTTCTTCCCTGTTTCCTTACCTCAGTGAGCATTGAATATCCAGCCATTGTTACTGAAGATAATTTTATATCGCCTAAGAAACAGTTGAATATAGTAATTAACGAAACAAACCATAACTACGAAAGTAAGAAAAATAGCACTTTGTTTTTAAAATTCTTTTTGTATCCATTCCATATGATGTCCATATGATCCATATAATTGCAAGCCCAATTAAAATTCCTGTTTGGGGTTTTGTAGGCCGAAAAAGTAGCACTCAATAAAAATCAATCAATTAAAATTTATATATCTCATAAATTCCCTAAAATAATACAAAAAAGTATATTTATTTTTAAAATACTTTTTGTACTATTACGAGAAACTATTACCACTTTGTTGAAATTAATTTATTAAATTTTCATTCATAAAAAATCTGACGGCTTGCTTAAAGTCAGGCTCTCATCCCAATGTTTCAGTTAAATTTCCACATCTTATGTTCGTCAATAAAATAAAATGAACTTAATTTTCTTCAATATATTATGTTTCTATAATATTTCATAAGATTATTCTTTTGATTACATTTCTTTTCTTAAATAATTATTCTTTCACGATCTAGCTACAACGAATCAATGTCTACACTTGAGTTTAAATGAACTTCAAAAATCAATATTGTTGACTTAAAATGGGAAAAATAGACCCTGAAACTTCGTCAGATGATATGTGAATGAAAATTTAATAAATTAATTTCGATAAAATGTTTTTTAATGGTTTCTCGTAAAAGTAAATAGTATTTGAAAAATTAATAGTCTCTTTTAAAAAAATATTCTGGAGAATTTATAAAATGATTTTTTAATTGATCGATTATTAATGAATGCTTCCTTTTCGGCCTGTAAAACATAGAACAGGAATGCTAATTGGGCTTGCAACTTCATGTGTTATGAAGCAAGCATAATTTTATAGGACTTCAATAAAAAAAATAAGTATTTCTAAAATACTTTCATAAGTACTATAATTAGTTTAATTTGTGTCATTTTGGTGGCTATCGTTTGCTCCGTTAATTACTGCAGCCAACTGTTAGAGGGTGAATAATAAATTAATTTTAATAAAAGTTTGTAAAATTAAATATACATTTTTAAAAATATTTAGCTAGATCAGATATATTGTGAAGACTGCATTCCAAAAATGTAGTTATCAGAAAAATTCAACTCTGTACGTTTTATTAACTCATTCCTAAAATAATGTAATAAATGGCTCAAAATATAGCCTAGTTACAGAAAAGAGCAGTATTTCCCAAGAAAAGAAAATCTGGTTAAATCACAAAATATATTTTAATGGTATTTTGAAAAAAAAAAAAAAATGATTTTCTCTAATAAAACTTCACACAAAGTGCATACATAATTTTTTTTTAATATTACAAATATTTTTTAGTGAATAATAATCTATAACTCGTAGATTTCAAAACTATTAAAAATTTAAATTTTTATTACGTCTTTTGGAATCGTATATGCAAACTAATCTGAATACAGGTTGCCTTATTTGCTACAATTTTTTTATCTTTCACGAATAGTGATAAAGTGACAAATAATTGTTTAATTGCACAACGATGACAATGATAAAAGAATGCTATCATTTTCTCAACGTCGTCATCCTTTAAGAACTTTTAAGGAACTCTTATTCTCCTCAAATATTCATTTTTTAAAAACTAAACTTTAGGCCTATTTATCTGTTAATTCAGAGACAGGAATCAAAATTGTATGTACATAAAAAAAAAATTAAAATGGATTGAGGCAAAAAACCATTTCCATGACATGGATAACTCGTGTAAGACTTAGCCAATGGTAGTGCTTGTTTTGAATTTTGTCTTGATATTTACAAGAGTCATTCCCTTAAAACTAACGAGGACGGAAGACAAGCCAGATAATCTGTCAACCGTGTCCAATCATGCTCCATTTGTGCTTACTATTCTGAGACCAACAATGACTCCAAGTCTGTTTCTTTCCTTATTTATTTTCTTTTTAAGCGGAGTTCGCTAATAGTAACTGTAAAAATAAAATCTGGAAGAGTCCCCAGATATATTTTATGTTTATATATTCCAATGCAAATATTAATAAAACTAAATATACGTGCTTTGTCGTTTCGTATTCTCTAGGCCCATCCATTGAAAAAATTCCGTTACTTGCATATTTTTAAAACAACATTTGGAAGTTGTATCTCTTAAGTAGGTGTAGTATTAAAGTTAATAATTAAATAACTATAACATTTATATGTGGTTAAGTTTTTTTATTCTTGACTCAATTTTATTAATATTTAGATTAAAATGATGAATAATGCCTACCTATCTAAATTGAATTCCATATTTTTTATCACTTATATATGAAAAGATCAACTTATTCTTACAATGATCCTCTTTAATTTAATTTTACTATCAATTTTATTTGTGCTGTATTTTTTTTAAAATTATTATTGAGTAATATTGTATTCTGTCAGTCACAATAGAGGACATTGGCAATTGTTAACAAAGAGTTCATTCACACCAAATATATGCAGAGACTATAAATAAATTAAGTAAAATAAAAAACAAACTAATAACTAAATAATAATATTTTAAAATAATATAAAATTATATTAAAAAATAAATTAACTAAACTAAATGAAAAACAAAAATAAAAAAACATCTTATATACAGACGTACCTACAATCTATTAGTGCAAAATTTAATTACCTTTATTTATTTTTTTACAATGTGTTTAAATTAATCACTTTAATCATTTCTATTTTCGGCAATGAATACAACCAAATACA